GTTACTTTTTTTTTTCAACAATCATTTTTATTGACTCTTTGGGGAATTTCACATCATGCACCCTGATCACACTCATTTCCCAGTCTTTCCATGGCCCCCCAGCCCTTGTGACCTCCCCTCTCAACAAAAAAAGAAAAAAAAAAGTCCAATTTGTGTTTTCTGTTGACTCACTGGAGCATGGTCAAACTCTCGGTGGCCTGTCCCCAAATAGAACTGAGTCCTTCCCCTCCAGCACCCCCACCGGAAGTCATCAAGTGTACAGAGCTACATTCAGCATCCTTATCACACTTTATAAGAGTTCACTTCAATGGCTTCCTGTTTAGGCTGTTACTTTTGAGAGGTGTTGAGGGGGCGGGCAGGGGTTGTCACAGAAGCCATCCATGTCCCTCTTTCTCAACTGTGTGTCCACAATCATCGGTATCACTGCCGAAGTAATTTCCTTTCCCTTTACAGTCCGTGGAAGGACGGATCATGGGCCTCCACACGGTTTCTTGCAACAGCACCGATGACAAACACTGCGCCTGGCTGCAGTAAGGCCAAGGACCCACACAGAGCCCTTGGTGGCAGCCCGAAATATGGACGTCACCATGGCCTCAGGTGGGCAGTGCAGGCCACTCACACCAATATGGCCCCCGGTAGCAGCACGGCCCATGGACACCAACATGACTTCAAGCCGCAGCACAGACCATCATAGATATCCACCATGGTGTTAGGTGGTATCACAGGCCTCGGACATCAACCTGGACCCTTGCTGCATCAGGACCACTGACCCACACATGGCCCTCAGTGGCATCACAGACCACCGTGGTCCTCTGAGGAGGTCTAATCCAGGAATTGAACCATTCCTCATCTCAGGCCTGCATCACTGCCCAGAGCCAGGGCTATCTTGAGGCTGGGCGGTGTGTTCAGGGGCTGAGTCTGCATCTACATAAGCTCCAGGCTGCTGTACAACACCCCGCCAACCCCACTGGGCAATGGCATGTTTTCCTGTCACCCTCAGCCTTCTTTCACACCTGTCACCCACCCCCACCCCCGTCACATCTCCAGTTCCACCTCTCTCTACAGCACTCACGCAATGCTCAGCTCTTCCATCCTTCCCACCTGCCCATCACACATTCATTCTCAGTAGTGGCACCTACCTGACAGTCCCCTCACCTGTGTGAGAGCCCAAAATTGTTACTTTTTAAAAGGCCCGTGTTCTCAGGTGCCCTGTGGTACCCCACCCACTGGGTGTACTATGACGTGATGGATCTATCCAGGGAGGCTTGGAAAGAAAGAAGGCTGAACACAGCTTTGTGCATATCATTCTGCTATCACCATAGAACAGCTCGGGGGTCATTTTTAATATTTCAGTTCAGAGCATAAATTGACTATGGAACCCTGGACCAGATCATGCTTGTTCCCCTTAGGGCTTCAGCGGGGTGGCAGGCACACCAGGGAAGTCTCTTTTCTGTATGCCCTTCTGTACTTTCTGAATTTGAAATGTAAACCTGGATTATTTATTCAAATAAACAAAGACACCAACAGTGGCTCCTAAGGCCCTGAAAAAAAAAAAAAGAAAGAAAGAAAAGAAAAGGAGGAAAGGGTCTGTTTGTTCAAGGTGGTCAGAACCAGAACTGGCTTCTGATCTCAAGTCAGGGCTAACAATGACAGTCTGCTTGTTCATGTGTGTGTTCAGTGAGTTTATTCAGCAACTCTCCCACAGCAGGGCTGCTGTAAGGAAGGACCGGGAGGCTGGGAGAAATCGCTGATGGAAGAGAAGACGAAAGATCAAGCAATTCCACCACCACCACCACCCACCACCCACCCCCGCTTCTTTAGCATCATACATCACAAACTGACCAAAACAGGCCAGCTCTAACGGCGGCAGTGAGTAAGGGGCAACCTAATTGTCATACTAAACAGCACCTACTCAGGTCAAAGAAGACAGTCATTGCCCAACCCAATTGGCTCTTGACATTGGGATATTAGCCCATGAGGTGATGTATTGTGTCCCCTAATATACTGTGTCTCCCAATAAAATAAAACTTGCCTGGAGATCAGAGGAAAAAGCCAGCCACGATACAGAAGTCAGGCAATGGTGGCACACGCCTTTAATCCTGTGTCACTTGGCAAGCAGGGATCTGTCTGGATCTCTGTGAGTTCAAGGCCACACTGGAAACAGAGCCAGGCGTGGTGGCACACGCCTTAAATTCCAACACTAGTTAACCATGGAGGTCTGGAGGTCTGTACAGACAGACAGGAAGTGACAGAGCTGGGCAGGAAGAGGAAGTGATGTAGCTGGACAGAGAGAGCAAATCAGACGGCAGAACAGCAAGGCATATAGGCGTGTGTAGACAGGCAGTAGCTCACTTTTGGAAGCTGCGAAGTTGGTGAGGTGAGGTTAGCTGTGGCTTTCCCTATTTCCCTGATCTCTCAGGTTTCACCCCTATATCTGGTTCCAAGTTTTTTATTTAATAAGACTGTTTAGAAATTTGTCTATAAGCCCAATATTTTCTGACCTTCCCCAGAATTCGTGTGTGTGGTGTGCTCGCGTGGTTATGTGGCTGTATACTCATGCACATGCAAGCAGAGGACAGAGGAAGAAGTCTACAGTGGGAGCCTCGCTTTGTTCCTCTCCACCTTACTCCTCTAAGACACTCTCCCACAGAGCTGCAAGCTTGCCGTTCTGGCTAGGGTGGCTGGCTACCGAGCTCCTGGAATCCACGTGTCCCTTCCCTATGGCTATATCCAGCTTTTTGCAGAGCTGCTGAGGATTTGAACTTGGGTCCTCATGTCTACACTGAGCCATCTCCCCAGACCTGAGATATTTTTAATGAGATTTTTTTTTCAAGGAATTTCTAACTGCTAACTACTAATCAAACTTACTCAGCTGCCTGGGCACTTCAGAGACCAAACACATGGGTATTTGTTTTACCCATCATAGCTATGGCCCCCAGCATTCTCAAACCAGGGCAAGCCACTTTTCTTCCCATGGTCTGTTGACTTTATCAGTTCACTAAGGGTCTGGCCTCCCACTAGCCAGGATTTTCTTCTGCTTGGCTAGCTGTGCGATCTCCTACTTGCTAACCCTACGCTGAGGTGTCAACAGTAGGCACCTCTGAGAGAGACCCCCCCACAAGAACTTGATCCCTAACATAACATGGCCCTCAACCAGCCATGACGGGCTCCAACGCACCACTTCATCAGATCCACTTTGTAACTCCATTCCTCTGTCTGAGCTCACCACCGCTCCATCGTCTACTCCTCCGCTGAAACACAGTATCATCTCTCTCTGTTATACACACAGAGACTCAAGGAGACAGGGGGAGCCTGCAGCAGCCCAGCTATCCCAGAGACACAAAGAAAGCAAAGCCTTCCGAGCCAATGCAAGAAACCAAATCCACACTCCAGAGCCACCGGATGAAAACCAGATCAGAAAGACTACTGTTAAGTGTAGGGCCGGGCGGTGGTGGCGCACGCCTTTAATCCCAGCACTTGGGAGGCAGAGGCAGGTGGATCTCTGAGTTTGAGGCCAGCCTGGTCTACAGACTGAGTTCCAGGACAGCCAGGATTACACAGAGAAACTCTGTCTGGAAAAACCAACCAAAACAACCAAACCAATAAACATTCAAGAAGAGGAGGAGAAGAAGGAAGAAAAAGAAAGAGATGACAATAAAAAAAAAGAGTGGGATTGTTTCATCAAATAAAATGCCTAACATGGTAATTTTACTGTCATTATTACTATTGGTTGATTAATATTAACTATCACTAAAGACTGGTTGTGATGGACCAGGCCTCAATTTGCATTTCTTATCATCAGCAATTTCCACCGAAATTGCTGGCTTTATCAGAGTATTACCTGCTTTATAATAGCTGCGATGCAAGATGAAGAGACCGAGGCATGGAGAGTCACTTGCCCCAAAGCAGAAAACTAGCAAACGTGTCCCAAAGAGCGATCCTACAGGACCCCAGAGTCTGGGCTCCCAAACACTCTGCTTTACACACGCATTTGTTGGCTGCACAGGCTACCAAGAAGCTGCACACCACCCTTCACTTCCCCCTGTGAGCATCACTGAGCTTTCCACCTCATCCATTCTCCCTCACTGGAAGAGCCCTTGCTTCTCCAGAGCACGCACTTAGCAAGCCACAGTCTTTGTAGCAATTGTTCTGAGTCGGACCAGCCCTGAACAGTTAAAAGTCCTTCAAAGCAAGGGTTCCCCCTGTCTTCTTACACTGTAAGCTGATACTGAGCACAGCCCTGGGTACCCTAAAAACACCAGAGGTACTTCTAAATGAGTAAGTTAAAAACAATTTTCTAAGTCCCCAGGAAGAGCATTACAGAGGGGCCAGAAAAATTCTCTTCACTGATGATCCAGCATGTATCCACCTAAGCATTACCATTCACAGGGACATTGTGGACCAGAACCACATGGGCAAGGAATTCCGGGTCAGCTGATTGGCCAGCAGCACTTATAAACCTAGTAGGGAAAAGAGGCAGACTGCATAGCAGAGCACACTTATTTTCTTAAGGACCAATGTTTAAAAGTCTGTGGGGTGGCTCACATCTGTAATCTCAGCACTGAGAGGTTAAAGTCAGTGTGTGCTACACTGACTGACCCTATCTCAAAAATGGACAAATGAAAACAAAAGAAAAATCTCTACTACAAAAGGCCTGGGGACAGACACTGGGTCTTACACACAAGATTGAAAAGGCCCAATGGGAAAGATGAGCAACTCTCAGCACTCCCTGGTAACCAAACCAAGAATCTAGAAGTCCAAATGTGGACACTCTTCTACATCTGAGCAAACAGGATACAAGCTCAGGGGTTGACCTTGAATCAACAGAGGTCACTAGTTATCTGGAAGACACAAGACACGGGTAATTTAGTTTCACCTACAAGTAACTATGACAGTACTACTTGGACCAGAAACCCACTGCATAATTACCCCCCAGAACCCCCTTTTTTGGTGCAAGTTAAGTGAAACTGTGGGAAATACCACACTTCTTATTTACTCACCTTGATGGCCCCACTTAAACATCAATTTTCTTGGAATGCACATGGTTTTGGGTGTGGCCCATGAATGTCATCCACAGTGATTCTGCAATGCTTACTCAATGGTAAGCCAGAAAGTCTAGACGCAGGCAGTAGCTGAGATGCACCATTATGGAGCAATTACATTTCTGACATATAATAAATATAAAACACTGATGGGTGAAGGAGCAGTCAAATGCTACAGCCTGGCAGCCAATGGCACGTTGAAGTGCTGGGGAATGTGCTCCATGTTGAACGTGCTGTTCCTTGAAAAGCAGGTCTTCCCTCCGAGATAAAATGCTCTTTCCTAAGAGAAGGAGTGAAGAGAAAGTCACCTCCCCAGGTAATAGGTCAGGGGAGAGGCTCGGCAAAGAAGCAGAGCCATCTCAAGGCAATCATTTCACTGAAGTCACAAGTCGGCCAAAGTCTATGTAACTCAACCGCACTCCAGTGTGGGCCAGGATCTAAGTGGAGGAAGCCTTTGGGCCATAAAGAAGACTAAAGAAACTACCCGCATGGAGTTCAGGGTCTGTCAGCAAACATCCAAAAGCAGTGCTCTCACTGCAGCAGGCACCAAGGTTACTGCAGAAGACGGCCGGTCCAGACAACCCAAGGCAGAATGTTAGATTACATTCAGAAATGACAAGGCAAGACCCATCAAAGGAGAGCACACTGGACAAAGGCATGAGTCACCCAAGCAGCAAACCATGGAACGGCATAGACTTCATCATATTACTCAGAAAAGGGCATAATTTTTAAACATAAATTGTTTCTTTTTTGGAATTTCCCATTTAACGTTTTCATACTCAGGTTGCTTATAGTTAACTGAAACCAAGAACAGTTACCATGAATAAAGGGCAACAAAGCAGATTCCTGGACCTTCTCCTGGGGATTTTGAGACATTAACCCTGAGGCTTGCTACTGGTTTGTGCCGGATGACTCTAGTATACATCTAGCATTGATAACACAGGGTTAGGCCAACATTCTCAACCAAAGCAAGATTGTCCAATTTCCCTAGGGGACAGCTAGCATGTATGGAGGGAGATACTATGGATTCAACCAAAGCAAGAGTGTCCAATTTTCCTAGGGGACAGCCAGCATGTATGGAAATACTATGGATTGTTACTGCTGTGGGGCTCAGAGCACAGGACACCATGATTATCCAGTAGATATAGGCCATCTCACAACAGCACAAGAACTCTGCAGCTCAAAATGTCAGCAGAGCCAAGGAGGAGAAACCTCGCTTCAAACCCTGGCGTCTGGGCACAAACACATGTTCTGAGATGCTACACGACTGATAGCACTCTGGAGTGGGGTGCTACAGGGTCCCCTGTAGACTACATGGGTCTACATGGGACCCACTAGATCCACAGATTGTAATGTCATAAGATGTCTTTTTGACCCTGCTATACAGCAATTTCTTATGAATTAAAACATCCCATCAAGGACAGGGGCTCCTTAAGACTCAAGAAGTAAGCAACTTCCAAGTCTTAGGAAGTTACTGAAACTCTCTAGATTCACAAGCCACACCCACCCCAACAAACTTAGACAACCAAGAAAGACTGCTAAGAATAAGAAACCGTCCAGCCTGTCAATCTGCCTGAATGTCATGCCGAGAGCTCCAGGGTTCCCCATGCTGGGGTAGGCTTTTGGTGATGCAACTGTCTTTGAGTCTTCCATGCTGTAAGGAACCTCCAGTAAGCTCATTGGTTCAACAAGTTGGACTTTGGAGATATCATTACTTTCCCGGTCATTCGTTCCCTATGTGAACAGACATTAGTGCACATCCTTCCAGGAACAGTACCACACAACAGATCTGTGTGCGCTTTAGACTTCATCCTTGGCCAACCTGGACGACCCTTTGTGGGAGGTCAGTTTGACAAGATTTGTAGACAGCAAAGGTGAAGGCCAGAACAACTGGGAAGCCATGTTCAGAGTTCTCTCAAGGCAGAGCCTCAAACAGATTCCCAAGCTCAACTCCCCAACCTGTGTGGTCTCCCCGATGCCAGTAAAGGTCAACAGTGGGCTCAGATAACAACTCTGAATTGACACTGACCTTTAGCAGATGTGTGTGTGTGTGTGTGTGTGTGTGTGTGTGTGTGTGTGTAAGGGCATGCCATGAGGGATTTTCTGAGGCCTAAAAGACATTTATTATCCTGCTGGTAGGTGAAGTTTTTTGTTTGTTTGTTTGTTTTTTGTTTTTTTAAATCATTTCAAACACCAGAATTACCAAGTCCACCCACTAATTTTGCCTGCAGATATCACAAGGAAAATAGCCAAAGGGCTCCATGAAGGGAGCAGGGAGACAGTTGCCTGATGCTTCAGAGTTCTCCAAATGCCTGCAGAAGTTGACTTGGTCTCCCGGAATGGACGATGAGTCAGTTCCAAAGGATTTCTGATGCACTCAACAGCAAGAATGAAAGGATTTACCCTGAGGAGCTAGGCTGCTGAGGTCAGGAGCAGGTTGAGACAGGGTCTGAGGCTGCTCAGAGCAGGCTAACACAGACACATTTCAGAGCCAGAGGTAGGATTGCGTCCCAGTTCTGAACAAGGAGACAGAAACAAACCTTTAGCTGTCGTTCCGGGCTCTGCTTAAACTGACGAATATCCCAGTGCCCCTAAACAGACAAAAGTACCCAACAGAGTCCTTTCTTTAATCCTCAAATTCGTGAGCAACCCAGCTCCCTTCACAAAACCAAGAACTCAGCCAGTGTCCAAAGCACCAGCAAGGCTGGAAAAAAAAGCTCTGTAAAGTAATAAGAGAAGTGAGAAACAGAAGACATTGCCGATGAGTGAGAGTGAACCTGAGTAGGTACGGTATGTGTGAAACTCTTCTATTGACACCTCAGAACCGAGAAGGGGGCATGAGAGCACAGAGAAAGGCATGTGTAAATACACAACTCGATGTAACACATAATTACACACAGAGTGTACTGCACATGTAATTATTCTGGACAGCAGCAGAGCAAGTGCTTGCCAGGTCCACCCATAGACCACAGTCAAAAGAGGAAGAAGAGTCATCTGGAGAGTGCATCATTCTCCAATACCCTTCTAGGCTACCTCAGTGAACTGGGTTCTCCAGAGGCTGCTGAAACTGGCTGAACTTGGCCATGAGCTCCTGATTTCTATAGCAACGCCATGCATTACTTGCTATGGAATGTAAGACCTGGATAGTTATACACATATAGTGAGTCTCTCTATACATTTATACGCTATGTAAAAGTTTCTAAAATTCTAGAATATGTTACAGCTAAAAAAATACTGCAGGGTTTTTTTTTTTCAAGCCAGCTTCAATTTAAGAGAGTGTTTAAATTCCTAGTTAATGGTAATTAGAGAGCAAGCAGCATCTCTTTAAACGCTGCTAGACAGAACTTAATCCAATTTGGTAATCACTAACCTCTGGGCTTTTTCCCCCTCTCTTTCTCTTTCTCCTAAATGAAACCCAAGCATTGATCTACAAAAGCTATAAACTGGCAAAGCATAAGAAAAGAATATTTAAAGAGAGATTGAGTGACTGTTACCTCAAAGGGCCAAGTCCAATTAAAATGGAAACAGGTCTCACAGGCTCCCTTACATCCACGGCCTATAAGCTGGCTGGTGCAGAATAACAAAAGGCACTCCCAGGAGTGGGGGACTCACTTTCCCACTGCTCTCTCCCCACCCCCCACCCCACCCCACCGCCCCAGAACTGCATCGGGCATGGCATTCACCAAGTCTTATCTGGCTGTGTGACCGAGGGCCACTCCTTCCCAAACCAATGTAGAGTTGTTCTGTTTACCTTCCTTTCCTTCCGCAGAACTAGCCCTTCAGGCCTTTGAGTCTGGTGACCTCCTTTTTCCCACTGTAGAGTCCCCACGTAGCTGGAACTGATTCAGAAACTTCCATGTAAACCACTACAACCATCTCGAGAACTTGGGAGTCTGCCAGACTGTGAATTATCTCAAGCTGATCTCTGATGGCTTGTCACTGTCTTGTCATCTATGTCCCCAGTCGCCTTCTTGACTCCCATGTGGAATCTTCCCTTGTAAAAACAAATGCCTTCTGCTCACCGGGGTACCCCTGTTTCGAAATTCTGAACCCTGAATCCTGAACAAAATATCTTCCCTTCAAATTCCAGCCACAAAGCCGGGCGGTGGTGGCACACGCCTTTAATCCCAGCACTCGGGAGGGAGAGCCAGGAGGATCTCTGTGAGTTCGAGGCCAGCCTGGGCTACCAAGTGAGTTCCAGGAAAGGCACAAAGCTACACAGAGAAACCCTGTCTTGGAAAAAAAAATTCCAGCCACAGAGGTATTAATTTTCTCGGCTGCGTGAGTAGACGAACATTATTTAGAAGCCCTGCCGCTAACATATTTACAGTGTGCATAGAGTCAGGTAGCTCTACCGACCGAGCCTTTCAAAGATGACAGACGTTGTAAGAGCTACTTCTCAAATCTATCCTGTGCTGGTCGGTTCTGCAAAAGGAACTAGAGAGAAAGGACTTTGCATTTGTTTTACCTGGTACAAGGGTTGTATCACAGGAACAAACAGTCATATCACCAGGACAGAGTGATGTGAACAGAGCTGAAGCATCACAAGGGTTGCTGCTCCAAGTTGCACCTTCTCCAGATGAGGAGATTAAATGTTGAACATACACTAAGTTAATGAGTAAACCAAAGATAGAACATTTCGGTAAGCCCTCTCAGTGTGAAGTTCTCAGGTGGACACAGCAATGGTATTCCAAGAGAAGAGGGAGGGCTTTTTCAGTGAGTGTGTGCTCCTTGCCATTTGGAAACCACACACCCTGTGGGCTGGGGAAACGGCTCCATTGGTAAAGTGCTTGCCACACAAGCAGGGGAACCTGAATCTGGATCCCCAGAACTCACATAAAAAGCCAGACCTGAGGGCGTGCTGTAATCTCTGCACTGGTGTGGCTGTGCAAAGGAAGATCCCAGGGACTTGCTGACTAGCCAGTTAGAATCAGTGAGAGACCCTGACTCCCAAAATAAAATAGAAATCAACTGAGGAAGACACAGACATTGACACACACATATGCAATGCAATATGCATGTACACACAGACATAACACACACACACACACACACACACACACACACACACAAATGTAATCAACTATATAATGATGTAGTGAACATCTGGGGAATCCCACAGAAGGGGAAGACATCTGCAGCCTCCAAACCTAGAGGGGCAATCTATTCTGAGCTCCATCCCCTGTACACATAACTTACGTCCTCTGAGCCTCAGTGTGCTCACTTATTTAGTGGGCATGCAGTAGTGCTCCATCATTTTGGTGAGCATATAATATACCAGGCTCAGTGCAAAGTGTTATCATAAGGTATGAAGAGGTGTTTACAGTTTTCCCTGTTTTCAGAAGCAGGTTTTTCTTGACATTTCAACATTAAAGATAACTGCTAAAACCACACCTATTGAAATAAATGCATACTCACGCCCCTCCAAGATCTGAAAAAAATGAGTTTCAACGCTTCAGAAACCGGTTAGACTCAGGTTAGACCTAGGGCAAGCAGGCTTATTTCTATTACCAGCTCTCATTTACACATTGATGGGTCCAGCTGTTAGAAGTGTGTTTAAAAAACTAGAACAAGGGGTGGGAGTGGAGAAACCAGAAGACAGCTTGACAGCCTGGTCAACCATTGCTTGCCATCTCTGAAAGGCAACACGCTACAGAAACTACTCTCCACAGCAACTCTGGTCCTCTCTGGAGCTCAGGACGGCAATGAGAGGACCCCTCTGCCCGGTTAAACCTGGCAGACCATCCTACTCTCTTCAGGTGTATAAGGAACCTCTCACTAAGAGCTAAGTTTAAAATGTGGCTAAATTGATTTCCATAAGCTTCACTTCTATCCTGGTTCACTGGCAGCTTGGTGTAATCAGTAACAGCGCCTACCTCCAGAGCAATTTAGCAGAACTAACAATGCCTTTTTGAAGTATATGGAGGCAAGAAATACTATTACTTCAAACCCTAGGTGGTCAAGATCACTAAGAGATTGTCAAAGGCGCAGTCTCCAAGGCTGATGATGCCATACTGAAAGACGGCAGGGGGGAGGGGGAAGAGGCTGACAGGATGAAGCCTGATTGTCCTGGACTGCTGTGGTCATGATCTTGGGTTTCTGAATTTGCATGTATCGCCCGGGCAAGGATTCCAAAACTCCAAGTTTTGGATGCCTGGAGATTTTTTTCCATGCGGGTGTCCGCAGCAGACTTGTAGCTGAGCCGGCGCGCGTAAGCATCTCATCTTGTGGGGCGCGACGCAGCGCAGTAATTGAAACCTTGCACACCGCAGGATTGCAGTGGCGTCTATAAATACTCTCCACTTTAGTGCTGACAAGCAAAACGCGGGCTTCTGGCACCGCGGAGGAAGAGGCGGCGGGGGCATGTGATCCCCGGCAGGGAGAGCATAGAAATAGGGGAAACCCCTATTGCCCACGAAGGTGACACCCTAGAATCTATTCACGAAGGACCCTTCGCAAGCACACCTGGTCCGCGTCACAGTCCAGGGAAGACTGGGCGCGAGCCCTGGGAACCTCTCGTCCTGGGGCGCGGGTCCCACAGCGCCCCCTGCGCGCAAAAACGCGCTGTGTGCACACGAGGCGCGTGGAGGAAATCCCGGCCCAACGCCCCGCGGGCGCGAAAGACGAAGCGGAAAGGGGACACTGTGGCTGCCCAGCGCTAAGCCGCAGCGAGCTGTCCGGAGCTTCCCGCCACCAAGGGCCAAGTCTCCCGCGGGCTGTCCCTTAGCTACAGTGGCCTGCCCAGCGCACGGAACCAAGAGGCCGCCTTGTGCTGCCTCGGCTCCCATGCCTGGCTCCAGGAAAATAAGGGGACGGCTGGGAGGATCGGTTTCACGTCTGAGTCGCCCCGTGAGCAACCCTGGCTCTGCAGATATGCCCCTCGGGCCATGGGAGGACTAAACGGACACACGTACTCTTTATCTGCCTCCTAGCTCACTATGGATCCCACGATCGGCAGCATCCCCCAAAGCCATTCACAGCGCTTCCTCGCCCACCGTGACCCACTACGCCAAGGGTGGCCTGCCCCTTCCCTATCCACTCCTTGGTGGTCTACCTCCCGCCCTCAGCATTCAATGCGGAGGCACCTTAACCACGCGGAGTCTCCTCTCAGACTCTCTGTCTCCGTGCCCCCACTCCCACCCCCAGATCACGCCAGGCGAGTTCCTTTCCAAGACTGTGAAGTTGCAGAACGGATGACTCCAGGCCCTCCAGGGACTTCCCCACTCACCCCCTTGGGGTCCCCGGCGTGAGTCACCCGAGCCGAGCCGAGCACAGCCGCCACACGCCTCCGTCCCAGACACTGCGTGCGCAGGAAAAAGTTTCCGGCGTTCCAGGGAAAGTTTTCTCGCTGGAGAGAAACAAGCGATCAGGATGGTTCTCGCCTTGCTCTCCCTCCCTGGGTCTTCCTCTCCCAGCTCTGCTCTCCGCCTGGTCGCATCCAGCTCGGGTTCCTCTCCGGAGTATTCACTCCCGGAGTGGCTGGTGACTGTTTCCCTCCTCTCTCAACTTACGGCCGCCTCCTCTCCTCCCCCCACCTCCTCCCACTTTTCCTGTCCGGTGCACATCGCTCTAGTTTCTCTCCAACGCCCCCGCCTCGCTTCACCCTATCCCACGCCTCCTCTCCAGCAACAAGGGGAGGCGGAGTGGGGGACCCTGCGCTTAAATCCACTTCGACAATTTCAGGAAATCCAAGCTCGTGGTCCTAAAAAGCAGAGGAGGATGCTGCAAGTCAAGGAAACTCAGAGACACCTTTAGCTCGCCCAAGAGGAGATTGGCATCCCACAGTTAACCACAAGATAAGAAACTACCCAGGAGCCCAGAGGTGTTTGTGCAACCAGATAAAAAGGAAAGGAGAGCTGCAGAACTTTCGTGAGGCTGACAAGGTTTTTGTTGCTGCTTTGGGGCGCGCACGCGCAAGGTTCTCAAACCGATTCCACACTTGTTTGCCCCTCAGCGGTGCAAAACGACTTTAAGGATCTGGGATTCTCTTTCCAGGCGAAGGAGTCACAAACACGACAGGTCTTCAGAATTGAAACCACAGAAAACCAACCAATTCGAAATTTTAAAAACAGTGTAAAATTATTTTATTTTGATGTTGTTGTTGTTATTTGGTCTGTGCTAAGAATTTGAGCTGATAGTGGAGCACTCATGATCCTAGCACAGCGGTATTCAACATGTGGGTCATGACCCCTCTGGGGAGTCCGCATATCAAATATCCTGATATCAGATATCCTGCATATCAGATATTTACATTATGATTCATAAAAGTAGCAAAATTGCAGTTTTGAAGTGGCAACGAAGTAATTTTATGGTTGGGGGTCACCACAGCATGAGGAACTGTATTAAAGGGTCGCAGCATTAGGAAGGCTGAGAACCAATGTAGCACTTTGGAGGTAGAGGCAGGAAGACCAAGAGTTTAGGGCGTCGTGCTCTACACAATGACTTCTATTACACGCTGCATTATATAAGCCCTAGTCTCAAGGAAAAAAAAAATATACTTTTATGCAGCTGTTTGCAGGACTCCCTGCTTGCATAATTTTGTTCTGTGGTTGAGCAGGAACTACTTTAAAAGCGCTGTCCGACCTCATATTATTAACATGTGAACTTCAAAACCACAGTGACATTTGATGAAGGAAAAGATGTATGTGCCCTTTTTTGGTTAAAAGTAAGCATGGGTTTGCTTTGGTCACCATAACCCTATGAAGCCTTTGTGTTAAGGTGTGGGTGTGGAGGAGTCTCCAGGAATGCTAGAGAAATCTAAAGGACTCTGAAAAGAACCCCCAAGATGGTCCTTAAATCTCACTCTTAAGAATCTTTTCTAGGGGGGTGGGAGGAGGGAGGACAGGGGAATCCGTGGCTGAGATGTAAAAGTAAATTAATTAGAAAATAAAAATATTTATTAAAAAAATCTTTTCTATAGCTGGGGTGGGGTGGGTGGGGTGGGGTGCACAGCATAGTGCAGGAGGTGGAAAGCCTGGGGAGCTGGGTGATGATGGAGAATCAAAAGCTGACCTGGCCAGCATGGTGGCTGCAAAGGTCTGTAAGTCCAGCACTCAGAAGTGGATCTCTGCAAGTTCAGAGTCAGCATGGTCTACATTCCGAGGCTACACAGAGAGATCCAGTCTCAAAAAAAGTGGGGAGGGAGAGAAAAGAAGAAGAGGAGGAAAAGGAGAAAGCCAAAAAGCCGGCAGCTACAAGGCAGGGTTCCATACACCACCTATATACACACCTTCCTAGCCTCGGGATATTATCCAGTTACTGAAGAGCTGCTGGGCCTCAGTTTACTCTTTTGAAATGGGAATAAACATAATCTATATCTCGAGTCATTGATAAGGATTTAAGGAATTCACAAGGAGGAAGTACCTAGAATCTCTACAGGAACTCACTAGACAGAATGCTGTTATTACTGTTATCCCTGCTGTAAGGAAAGGATAGCCTTGAGCCCAGGCATTTCCCATTCCAGGGCTCCTCCCCTACAGCTGTTTGTTCAAGGAGACCTACTGTATTCTAGCTGCCTGTAAACAAAGCACCAGGAAGCAGTAGCCAGAGAATCTGAAGTTCCAGGTCAGCCTAGCTGGGTAAGGAAATTCTGTCTCAAAATAAAAATAAAATTGCGCCGGGCGGTGGTGGCGCACGCCTTTAATCCCAGCACTCGGGAGGCAGAGCCAGGCGGATCTCTGTGAGTTCGAGGCCAGCCTGGACTACCAAGTGAGTTCCAGGAAAGGCGCAAAGCTACACAGAGAAACCCTGTCTCGAAAAACCAAAAAAAAAAAAAATAAAATAAAATAAAATAAAATAAAATAAAATTGCAATTCACTCCTTCTTCCCAACACCGTTCACTCCATTCCTTTCCCTCTTAGCACCATTACCTTATAATATACTGCATATCACATACATTCATTCTCCTAAGTTAATCTGCCCCTCCCGTCTATCGACATAGAGAAAGACCATCTAAAAGCCATCCCTTTTGTTCACAATTGTGTCCGAATTCCTAGACCAGCGCCAGGCACATAGTATATCCATGTATATACTGCAGGAATAAATCCATGAATAAATTCATTCCACACTGACTGCCTCTGATGAGCAAGGAATTGTGCAGTGTATGGGGTGGGGGAGTGGGAATTAATTACTAGACCTGTCCAAGGAGGAAACCGTCTTCCCTGTTGGAAAAGCACCTTCCTGGGAAGTATTCACAGTGAAGGAGAAGGGGAGGGGCCACGAAAAAGGATTCAAAGATTGGGAGCAAGCTTTAAAGAGGTTTTAACCTGAACTTTTGCTAATTTAAGTTTGTGTTTGTTTATTTGTTTGTTGAGGTAGCACTCTCAAAGTCCAGGCTGGTGTCCAACTCCCTTAGCCTACGATGACCTTGAATTCCAGGTTCACCTTCCTCCTCCTCCTGAATGATGGGATTACAGGCCAGCCACATCCACACCACCACACCACACCCAACTTAGTGTTGCTAATTTTGTAAACAGAATCTTCTTCAAACGAGAAGCCAGTATTTTGGTGTAAATCAGGACTTCTCTAAGGCCAGTCTCCCATGCTTGTCACTTTGCAAATTTATATACATATCTCCAGTGAGCACTGCCTTTTCTAACTAAGAAACAGAGTCTTGTTGGGAGCATTCAGCACAGATCATGCCTTTCAAACACTCACTTGGAGGTGGTGGTGGGGTGCTAGCTAGTTCTTTATCAAGCATATCCCTGTAGAGTTTGCCGTGTCAGTCTCTGAAATGGAACTTGGTCCAAACCAGGCTTCAGATGAAAGGGTAATTCTGAGGCAGCCCCTTTAGGACTAAGGGTGGGAACCTAACTTAGGTTCAGCCAAGCCATAGATTTACCCTTTAACACAATCAGTCCCGAAATGTATTGGGTAAATCAGATTCCATTTTCAGGACCAGAAGTGAGAAAGAGAGAGAGAGAAAGGAGGAGGAAAAGGTGAAAGGTCATGATTCTGTCAGAACTCTAGATTATAGAAGCTGCAGACTGTCTACAGCTGGACTAGTTAGATGCGTATTAGCTGAACTTCATGCTGTTGTTCCGTTTTCTTAAATCAGAAAACTTAGTGTTAAAAACAGAGATCTCAGCTGGCTGCGAAGGCCCTGGGAGCAGTGATGTCAGTCAGCCTAACTGTAGGCCCGCAGGACCACAGGACCACAGAACCAGCTCTGCAATGGTTTTCTCCCTGTTTGGAGAGGACACCCAGTTTCTAGTTTGTCACAATCCCAGCCGCTCCCTGCTTCTCTGGTTCCTGGAATGGGTTCATCCGTTTCCCCACCACACTCACTGCAGCTTGAGAGGGATGCCCGCCTGTGCTAGGAGGGGCCAGAGCCGAGGGCTTCAGACATTCTTCCCCTGGCAAGAGAACCCATTGTTTTCAAACAAAGCTTTACCGTAGTGACATCATTTGAGTACTACTAAGGTAAAGGTAGCCACAGAGGAGACAGAGACAAGTGGGCACGGAAGGCAGGAAGAAGCAAAGGCCTTTAGTGGGGGCGGTCCCTAGGCACACTAACTACCTTCAGTTCCAAAGGCCTGCGGCTCTGCGTTTCCTTTTTTCTCCTGGCAATCCTGCCCACCCAGCCTTATTCCTCTTTCCCACTCCAGGAGAGCCGTAATCAGGCCACAGTCAGATGAGTGGTCCAACACCATCCTCAAGCGAGAAAAGAATATAGCACAGGGCTTCTGTGAAGTCAATACAGGACCTTTCTCTTGTTTCATTACCTGCTTCCATCTCTGAATCATAACAGGAACCACTCCAGTCAACAGCATTAAACTACGCAAGGCCTTACAGGCTTGGTATCCAACAGGAAGGAGTGTCACACTGTCTCCAATTTAAGTGATACAGGTCTGTTCTCCAGTTTAGACCACCTCAGTGTCCTTGATGTCTCATGCGGCATCAGGCAAGTATTCCAGAGAGGAAAGGCATCCCTCCAGACCTTGTCTTGTCTCCTCTTGTATGTGTCTCTGTGTGTGTATGTGCACTTGGGGGAAGGAGGCATGCACATGTGTGCACATGGGTGGGGAGGTCAGAGGCTGATGATGGCTGTCTTCTTCAGTCGCTCGCCGCCCTATTTTTTTTTTTTTAGACAGGGCTTCTCTGCGTAGCTTTGGAGCTTTTCCTGGATCTTGCTCTGTAGATCAGGCTGGCCTCGAACTCACTCCTGAGTGCTGGGATTAAAAGTGTGCATCACCACCACCCAGCCCTCGCCCTATTTTTTGAGATGGAGTCTCTCACTGATGCTGGAGCTAGACAGTGAGCTCTAGGGATGGATCCTCCTGTCTCTGCTGTCACAGCATTGAGATTCCAGTCATAGAAAGCCCGAATCTAGTTTTGTACAAGCAAGTG